CCTTTAGAAATCAAGTGGTAGAGTCAAACTGGCCAAAAAAAGGCTTCATTTAACCTAGATCAAACTGTGGTGTTGGAGAAGACTCTTGAGAATCCCTTGGACTGCAAGGAGATCCAACCAGTCCATCCTAAAGGAAATCAGTCCTGGGTGTTCACTGGAAGGACTGATGTTGAAGGTGAAACTCCAGTGTTTTGGCCACCTGATGTGAAGAGCTGACTCATTTGAAAAGACCCTGATGTTGGGAAAGATTGAAGGCAGGAGGAGAAGGGGACAACAGAGGATGAGATGGTTAGATGGCATCACCAACTCAATGGACATGAGTTTGGGCAAACTCCGGGAGTTGGTGATGGACAGGGAGGCCTGGCGTGCTGTGGTTCATGGGGTCGCAAAGAGTCGGACACGACTGAGCAACTGAACTGAACTGAAAGTTGTAAAATACAGACAAGTGATTTCTTTAAGAAAATTTATTTGTGGCTCTAGAGTGGAAATAGGGAAGCTCATATACCACATTCTTTTAAAAAAAAAAAAATATTGTCAAATACCCAAACCTCTACATTTACTTTCTCCTCATTGCTTAAACTACAAATAAAATTTTGAGAGACCTCAAATCCTTGGGCATGCAGTAACTCATTCTGGACGCCAGGGGTCCACCCTACATTGTTCTATTAGTGAAGGCAATACTGAACCTGTTTCATTTGCCACCCAGCCTAAAAATATATATGGAGACTGATGCTGAAACCAAGCTTTTGGCATATCTTGGATCAGGAAGGACAAAGGGCATCTCTCTCAAAGGTAATCCCAGAACTGTGGTCCAGCTATTAGGAAGAGAGGTCCAGTGGCTCTGCCCCATTTCCAAGGACTTTCTGGCCATAAGTCCCCACTTCTTTCCAAGCCTCCTACCAAAGGCAGGTGTAGGACCACAGTTAGACAGTCTTCAGAACTGGACACACAGGGGTATGAGTAACGGGCTTTAAGGGAGTCTAGTGAAACAGTGAAAGAGGAACTGGGCTCAGAGTCACAGACAGCAGGAAGGTAAAAAGGATAAGAGGAAGAGCTCAAGTACTCGGATGAGAACCAAGAAAGCTACGGTGAACAAGCGGGCAAGGTGAGGAAAAGGAGAAAGAAACAACCTAGAGAGGGAGAGGGGATGTGCACATAAGAAGGAAAGGAGCAGCTAAGAGTGGGAAGGCGTCACACAGTGAGGAGGCAGGAATGGAAGGAACAGTGTCCTAGGTTGGGGGACTAGCACATGCAAAAGTATGAGAGAGATGCTACATTGACCAGCTGAGAATGAATGAAAGAATATTTTCAGTGGTGGCAGTAATGAGTAGTAAGATAGAGTTATATCTCTGTATGAGTTCCAAATAAAGCTTGAACAGTTGCTCCAGCTGAAGAACAGAGAAAGTATTTGAGAGGAGTAGGGCAAGAGACAGGGAAGAAATTAAGTGTCCTGGCCCAAGTTGGAACAGAAGAGAACAACTTCAAGCAATACTTTGGAAGCAGAACTGTTAGGACTGGTGATTGAATGGACAAGGGAGAAGAAAGAAGCAAGAATGACATCCAATGTGGTATATATATATACAATGGAATATTACTCAGCCATAAAAAATGAAATGATGCCATGTGCAGCAACATGGATCAACTTAAAGATTTTCGTAGTAAGTGAAGTAAGAGAAAGACAAATATATCACTTATATGTGGAATCTTTAGAAAATGATACACATGAACTTACTTTTGAAACAGATTTATAGACATAGAAAGCAAACATGGTTACCACAGTGGGAGAGATAAAGTAGGATGTTGGGATTAACATATAGACACCACTATATATAATATAGATCATCACAAGGACCTACTGTATAACACAGGGAACTCTACCCCATACTCTGTAATAAGCTATATGGGAAAAGAGTCTGAGAAAGGATATATGTATATATGTATGTGTGTGTGTGTCTATGTGTATATACACATATAACTGAATCAGTTTGCTATACACCTGAAGCTACCATAATATTGTAAATCAACTATACTTCAACTTAAATAAAAATAATACTTTGACAATAACACAGAAAGTTAGGAATATATTTTTTCAAAATGCCAGAAGACGTACATTAAAAACAGAAAATTCATTATGGAAAACAAATGTTGTTGATCTTATGTCTTAAAAAATTAAAGGAAAAAAAAGAATGATATTCAGGATTGGGACATGGACCACAGTTTGGATGGGGGAGCTGTTCATGGAACTGGGGGGGACACAGGTGGGGGACCAGGCTGGGGTGAAGTTGTCCATGTTGAATGTGAGGTGCTTGCAGGATATATCCTGGTGGAGCCCCATGAGAAACAGCTCCGGATAATTATCTAATGCCATGGTTCTCAACCTTCACAGTACATTAGAATCACAAGAAGCTTCAAAACCCATGACTTGCAGAACTGAGCCCAGGCCAGTGAGGGCCTGTGAGGGAGGGCTCTGGTCATGGGTAATTTTTAAATAGGTGATGCTGTTGGGCAAACTAACGACAATGGTCTTCACTGCAAGGCTAAAGGATATAAAAGTCTTCGCTCCTATCCTTCACTCTTGGTTTCTACATCATAAAACAGGAATAGTGATTCTTAGGTGCTTCACCAGAGTGTCGTGAGAAACAATTACCATTTGGAAAAGCTTTGAGAACCACAGATAAAAGACAACAGGATTCCTTTAAGTATTACTTTTACAAGTTTCACCTGCTTTTGCTCATGATCTCATCTGTGGTTCCGTATTAGTGAGAGGGAGGGTTGGGAGGATTGGGAAGGAAGGTCAGGGTAAACTGCAGTGAGGGGTTGTGTGACAGAGGCAGACGGTCTCCTTGGTGACTGACCACTTTCTATGCAAATGTAACTCCCAGGGCCACATGGAAATACAAGGAAGCCTATGAATACTTTTGGAAGGAATTACTGTTGGAAAAGTTTGGGGTTCTTAAAATTAAAAAGCAAAAATGTTTAATTACTGTGAATTTCAAGGTTCCATCCCCGGTCCGGGAAGATCCCACACGCTTCAGAGAAACTAAGCTCTTGCAGTACAACTCGGAGCCCATGCGCCTGTGGCCCGGCCCCGCAACAAGAGAAGCCATCGCAATGAGAAGCCGGTGCACCGCACCTAGAGAGCAGCCCCCCATTCGCCGTGAATAGAGAAAGCTTGCGAGCTGAAGACCCAGTGCAGGCAAAAACAAAGAGGAATAAAAAATGTTTAAAAGAACCTTAAAGGAAAAAAATAAAAACTGAAAATGTGCAATGAGGAGAGCTCCTTTCCCATAAACACACCTTCAACACTCAACGTGTCGCTTATACAGGGTGAGTGGTTCTCTCTCTCAGGTGATCCATGGCTCATTTCTCACCATGAGCTCACTGGGAATGTTGACAGAGCCCCTCTAATGATCTAATGGTCCTGAGTCACTGACGAGATTGTCAAGGCCATGAGTCACACCACCACTCTCCCCACCATCTAAGAAATTCTGACCTCCCACTGCCAACACCTGATGCAGCACAAGATAAAAAGAAGTAACTGCTTAAGAAATCCTTTAGTTTTTTTTTTCTTTTTAGTGCTAACGATGTGTATGTGAATGTTAGGCCCCCAAAATGAAAGTATCTGAACGGGCATGAAGCAAGATCACTGCTCTTTAGGTTACTGAGTGCAGGTAAGATCCTAAACCTATAGGATTATGATATGAGAAGGAATGAAATAAAGGCATAATTAAGGCTTGGAACATAATTCCTCAAATAGCTGTTGTCCAGTTATTTTAAGGACTGTCTGCCAGCCTCTTGGAGAGAAAATGTTCAGATGGCTCTGAGCCTATCAGCAGGGTGAACAGTTGTGTCCAATAAATGAAAAGCTGCTTTGCTTACCCACTGACCTCTGTGTTCCACCGAAGCCTTGAAAAAGCTCTCTCTACCTTGCAACAGTTCACAACCAAAAAAAAAAAAAAAAAGATTTGTCTAACAGATTTGGACAGGTTTCGTTCACACACCCATTGTGTGCAGTCACGGGACTGGAAGACATCTTGGATCTCGGAGTTATTCTGAATCTGGTCCACTCCTTTTATAAATGAAGAAACAAAGAACCAGAGAGAGGACTGCCTTGTTTAATCACAAGGCTTTCTAGAGTCTCCTGGGTTGCAAATGGTGCTTTATTCCTGTGAACTTTCTGAAATCACTAGTATGTGTCTTTTCTTATTTCAGCTCCAATGCTCTAATCTTGGATGAAGGATGGCTCTTGAATTCAGTTTCACATGTTTTTCTTTATGGAAGATGAACCACATCCAGCAATTCCACTCCTTACCATCCCACCCCATCACTGCCAACAGTTAGAAGCTGTAAAGGAATCTGATAACTTTTAGTCTATTTTGCCTTTAGGCAGATTGACGCCAAAACAATCCTAATCAGATAAACACATTTTTCAATCTTAAAAATATCTACTGATGAAAATGTGGCATTTTCCCTCCGGAAACTGCCGCTTTTTGTTTACTGAAAGAATGTCACTGACCACCACCCTCCTCCCCCACAATGGCCACAGAGCATAAACTCCAAGTCTCTCTCCAGAGGTCAGTTGGATCCAGTCTGTATGAAGAAATTGACTTCCCTTGTGAATTTCAAGATAAACAGGGCTGCAAGCTCTGACTGTGGTTTTTTGCATAGCACAGCTATGATTTTGGTCCTCTCCTCAGGATGCTAGACAAAATTATCTCTTTGGTCCACTTGTTCCCCATTTAGCTGAGGGGACTGGCCATCACAAGTGACCATTCAGACCAACCCTCAAACAGAAAGTAATTTATTTTCCCTAACGAAAAAGATCTCCCCCCCCCCAAAAAAAAGAAAAAGATCTCCCCAGGCAAAGCTTGCAAGACCTCCCTTAGAAACACCTTTTTCCATCTCACCCCAGTTTTTCTAAGTCCTTCATGAAGGAATTAAAAAGAATTTTTTTTTACCCCGAGTTGAAAGAAAGCCCTTCTGAAGGTTTTGCCACTTACTTTGATATAGGGGTGTTTTGCACACGTTGTGCCCCACACATGGGAACAACGTTCCTCTTTTCTATGTTCGTAGAATTCAGGATCTTGTAAGACAGCAATCCTCCGTCCTCCGTGTGTTAAGACAAACTCACTGCAGCCTTCCAGCCGTGTCTTATCATCCGCAGAGATGGGCAGTACTATAGGGATGCTCATGTTGATCACTCCATCTGTGGAAAGAGCCATGTGATGTGTAAATGTGGGGTATGAGGCATGTGCTCCTTTAAAGGGGACGCCCATGTGTGCCATTTCCTGCAAGAGGCATCAAGACCCAACTCTAACACAGTTGTGCTGCTGCACTAGTTTTTCTAGAATCTGTGATCAATCCTTTGAGAAGAGGCTTCTCAAAGCAAGAGATTAAGCGTTTGTGAAAAGAGGGCTGTTTCAATTTGTGGAGATGGCTTCAGTAAGTGACTTGGAGGCCCAGGAGGGATTGTCTCCCTTCTGAGTTCCCTTTGGAAAGTTCCGTCCTGACTTCCACACACTAGGGAGCTTAGTCTTTACAAATCCAATTAGACTAAATAAAGGCAATGCCCGGCGTCTCTGCGAGTCGTGCACCTGCAGATTAAACCACCTTGCAGATAGCAAGCCTTATACAGGATCCACCTTTGGTTGAATCATGGATGAGGAATCCACAGATACAAAGGCTGGACCATGGGACTAGAGCATGCACAAAGTCTGGTATATGCACTGGATCCTGGAACCACCCCCTGAAGATGGGAAGGGAGGACTGTGATTCCTTAATGAAGCCAGAGAACATGAGATTACACAGCTGTTTCCCCCCTTTTGTAATGGTGCCCCAACACTCCAGCAAGTATGTCAGACTTTCTGTTGTACTTACAGTGAGAAAATGGGGGCACAGAATTAAGGGTGTAACACTAAAGAATATTTGGGCAATTTGGGGGGTGTTGCAGCAGCAGCCAAGTTCAAGACTCAGAAGGGAATGGAAGAAAGGTGGGTAAAGAAAACATTCAACTTGTTACCAGTTTAAGCTTGACTGCTCACTGCTCCTCAGACCAGTCTATGAGAAATGAGTTGTTGGGGCAAGGAATAGCAACTTTCTTTGGGAAGTCAGCAGACCAGGAATTTGGTAGACTCGCGTGCATCCGAAAGAACCATCTTATCTGAATTCAGGCTTTTTTTTATACCCAAAGGGGAGGGGATAAAGGCAAACATTTCCTAATGCCAGTGAGACTTCTGAGGGGAGATGTTAATATCTTCCTCACTGCAGCCATTCTCAGGTGGGCCTAGTCAGGATGTTTCCTATGAGCTAAACAAAGGTATTTTAGCTAAACAAAGGTATTTCAGCTAAACAAAGGTATTTCAGCTAAACAAAGGTATTTTAGCTAAACAAAGGTCTTTCATGTGAGCAGGGTTTCCAGAGATGGGGCATTATGTATAATGTAAGCTTATGGGCAACATCCTCTTATTGATTAACTTGGAAAAAAAGCTATGTATATATATATATACACACACGGAATTTAGAGAGATGATAACAATAACCCTATATGCAAGACAGAAAAAGAGACATAGATGTATATAACAGTCTTTTGGACTCTGTGGGAGAAGCCGAGGGTGGGATGATCTAAGAGAATAGCATTGAAACATGTATATTATCATATGTGAAACAGATCACCAGTCCAGGTTGGATGCCTGAGACAGGGTGCTCGGGGCTGGTGCACTGGGATGACCTTGAAGGATGGGATGGGGAGGGAGGTGGGAGGGGGGTTCAGGATGGGGAGCACATGTAAACCCATGGCTGATTCATGTCAATGTATGGCAAAAACCACTACAATATTGTAAAGTAATTAGCCTCCAACTAAAATAAATACATTAAAAAAAAAAGCAATAGCATACAAAAGTTAAAGAAACAGATCAAATATGGAGATATGGAGTAAGATGTGTTCTTCCCCATTACAAACTCAGGAATTCAAAACAGGAAGCAAATACTGTTACTTATGGATTGGAGGCAATGTACCATAGATTAATGAAGTCTTGTAAATATACCTGTCAAAATCCAATTTTAGACCATCTCTGATAAAGATCTGAGGTCTGAATTCTATCCCCTTGGGACATAATACTCTCCTGCTAGCTATGAAAAAAAAGTTTGCAGGCATATCACTTTGCACATTTAAAATACTCTCTAAAAGTTACTAGGACATAAGGAATGTCACCAGATATAGATGGTAACTTCCGGCAATAAAGAAATTCTGTCCATCATAAAATCCTGCAATCTGCTCTGGGAGCCTTCTAAACAAGGAAGATAACCGTGCACAGAAAGTGATGATTTTGGTCACTCAAACAACTCCTCTGTTTCAAAGTTCAGAGACAATAAAAGTAGTCTGAGCAAGCCCTGTACAGAGGGCACTAAGCTCTAAGCCGAGTAATCTCCTACTTACTGTGTCACTCCCCTTCTCTGTGATCCCTGGGTTACTGGGAAGAGCCATACTGTAAAGCACTCTATTAATTTATCATGAAAGACCATTAAGCCCACCGCATAGTATAGTTGATAAAAAGAGGCCTCCAAAGAAACACACCTTCGAGGATGCTGATGATCTCATTAGAAATCATGCTTTCTGTGGATTGTGGATTACTGACCACACTGCTTATGAAGAGTAGCTTGACTAAAATAAACTAAAACAAGATGCAGAGCCAAAGGTTGGCAGGATGCTAGGGGAAGCCCAGCTTTGCCTGCAACATGCTTGCAGTGCTGCCTTCCAGCAATGATTCTGGGGTGAATTCCAAAGAATGCTCCACACTTCTGTTGCCATTGCCTCGTCTGGTCCACTAGATTCCAGCCTGGAGTAGCCTCTGATCCACCTTCATCTTGGCCTTGATTGAAAATCCCAACCAAGGACACAGCACTCCCTGATGGGTTGTCAAGACAGCTAATCTGTGGGATGTTGTGGAAGGGAGTTCTACCAAGGAAAAATGCCAACTGATCTCATACACCTGTAGTTACAACTCCACACAGGCAAAAAATTTACTGTTGTTTCCCTATCTTACTCAACTTTTCCATTGATAATACATAAAATTATCCTACCATTTAACTCTGTGCTGAAATATCCTCGATAGCTTTAGACATTGACTCGGGCTTCCAGCCCTTTTCCTTTATGTGCTTCAACTCTGGTGGGAACCACCCTGATTATTTTACTGTGGTATAACTGACTGTGAAAAAGAGTATCGTGGTTTTTTAGCTATAGTAAGTCCAGCACTTACTTCATGTTTAATTGAATAATTTTGCTTTTGCTTTAAATAATTGTCAAACCTCTTGTTTTAACCTTGCAGATATGCTTATCATTTGTTTTGGACAGTTTCTAGGCAAAAACTAAAATACTTTTTATTGACTAATCTTTTTTCAAGGAAAAACAACAATGATGAAAATAATACTCAAGATAAATGATATCTTCAGATTTTTACCTTTCTCTTCTGGTACAGCACAGAGATTTACAATCACAGTGGGTATGTATTTATTCCCAGTTTTATAACTATCAATCATCATAGCTTGAAATTAAATTCATGCATAATCACTTATCACAAACAAATGAAATACAATCATCCACCATCCAACCAGGTGCATCCTCTTTAAATTGCATCTAAAATTGACTTATCTTTCATCAATTAAAAATATTTTATAAATGCAATGGGAAAATAATTCCAGATTTGTGAAACTAAATGAGGACAAACACTCAGTAGAAGTAATTAGCAGAAAGGATAATAAATTTTTTAAATCTCAAGAACAAAATATGCGATAAAAACTTAGAAACAACTTTACTTTTGTCAGCTGAATACATTATAAACAACAGCTGCATCTGATCCAGAAATTTCCTGTTACTTGGACTCCTATCAACAGAAGGCAGTATTATTCTCTTATAACTGGTTGGATCATGAACTGTTAGCAATTCCAACTGTTTCATTTAGATTTTTTAAGTTATGTCATTACCATTTCTAGTTAATATAACACATCTAATTATAATAATTTGACTACTTAGGAAGTTAAAGTACATACCAGGAAGGAACATGCCTAGAGAAATACAAACACAGTTAAGAAAAATATTGTTTTCAACTTTCCACCAAAATAACAGTAAAGCAACAATGTTGAAGAATAAATTCCTGTTATGAAACTTTATACATACAACATACAAATTACTGAGATTTTTGCTACAGCCATTTCTAAAAATAGAGAATATAAGACAGTAAAGAGCTGGAGAAAAAGGAATTTGTATTGAATACTAACCAATACAATCCAAAAGTATTGTTTAAATGATTATGTTTTTAAATAATTATATGTCAGAAGCCCCTCCAACTTCAGCAAGAAGTTGCCTCTTATAAATAAGTGACTTTATAACTACTGCCACCCTTTGGGAGGTGTGGAGGCAAGCTGCTCTAGAACATCCTAGAATTCCAGATGTTTGGAGGACATGAAAGTATGCCCAGTAGAAAAAGTACAGATATAGAACCAGGATAACTTGGATTTGAATCCAGACTTCAAGTGAGTTATTTAACCTTCCCAATACTATTCCCTCATATGGACAAAACACCTTCACAGTGGTGTTAATCCAGATTAAATGTGATGTCCAATGTCAAGCACCAGGGTCAGAACACTTTATGTGCTGAATAAATGCTGGCACTATGTAGGAAAGCTCTCAAGCCCTGCCTTACAAAGTCGAAGCCACAGAAGACTTGCCATTAAATGATCAGGGCACACAGGCTGCCATGTCTTAACCCTACTTGGATGCCACCAGTCAAGAATACAAGCTTAAGGTTCCACTTGTAAATTCAGATGTGACATTTATCATTGGAGAATCTGTGACAACCTCGAAACTATATATCCAGTGAGAAATAAAGTGATAATAATACACTGACATGAAAATATATAATCATCAAAAACACTAAAAAGTGATTTTTTATTTTGCTTTTGGACTGAGTACACTGAACTAATTTTTTTTTTTATACCGAACTAGTGTTTTTTTTAACTATGGGAGAAATTGTGAACATTTGAGAAAATTAAACCAAAAAATAGTTTGGGGAGACAGAGTCAGAATAGAAACCTTATCTGCAGACTGTTAGGTGATCAAGATGTGCAATTGTTTAATGGTGGATGAAAATGGCTACATCTGTGACTACAAAAGTTATTTCAAATTTTCAATGGTGATGACTCAAACTTTCATAAACTGGTAAAATGAAATGATATCCATATAATAATATCTTGCCCAACCTTCTGATATAGAGATACATCATTTTTGAAATTTAACCCTGTCTACTCAGTCCAATGGCTTCCCTGGTGGCTCAGAGGGTAAAGTGTCTGCCTGCAATGTGGGAGACCCGGGTTCGATCCCTGGGTTGGGAAGATCCCCTGGAGAAGGAAGGAGCCTGGTAGGCTACAGTCCATGGGGTGGCAAAGAGCCGGACACGACTGAGGGACTTCACTTTTTCCTCAGTTCAAAATCCATTGAGCCAAGCTCTTCCATGAGACTCACATGGTATGGTAGAGGACAGCGTGTTGCAGCTTTCTTGTGCTATTAGAAAATGCCCCCATGGCTGCTGATGGGTAGGAGAAAGGCTGAGCCCACCCCTTCTACAGGAGCAGTTCCATTTTCATCTGTTCTATACGTGGCCTCAGATTTCACTGAAACAGCTATGACTTAAAAAAACAAAAAGCTTGACGACCACTAATGTGGTTGGAAAACCCCTCCATAGAGTTCAGAAGATGAACTGCACTGCCTGTCCCAGCAAGCTCATATCTGTCGTCATTATCTATCTCCAGCAGCTAGAATAAAACCTGACATCCAAGGACACTCAATGAATATTTGTTGGCTAGCTGATGAACATCTTAACTGTGCTGCTTCCAAACAGATGTGACTAGAGATAAGCCTCTTAGTCTGTTCAAGACTTTCATGTCCTTTTAACTGTACATGGGGGTGGCGGGGAGGTGTTACTATATGGCATATATTTTATGGAATATAATATATGGAATATATTGGACAAGGTATCCTTTTAAATGCTCAACATCCCAGTGAGAAGGTTAAGTCTTTTAAGTCCCAATGAGGTAGGTACTTTTATTAACATCCCCATTTTACAGATGAGGAAACTGAGGCCCAGGGTGTTTAAGTAATGTGCTCCAACTTCATAGCTAATCACTGGCAAATGAACCCAGAGTCTGGCTCCATGGCTCACTCTTATCCACTATGATATTCTGCCTCTACTTAGGCAGAGGTGGGTTACCTATTATATCCCTGGTAACTATTTTTATTAATTATGTAGGAATTAAGGAGACTTCTGGAGAGTATGGGGAGGTTTGAAGCCTAACTACAGCTGGGGTTGCTTTATGTCCCATTCCCTGGGCACAAGCCTAGAACACAAACATCTTTCTCAAGAAAGAACACCTGATTTTTCTTCCTAAAAGGTTTGGAGCCCCACTCAGTATTATAAATTCAGTGTGCATCTATCACCATCCCTTCCCCATGTGTCAATAATACCCCAAAATCTTGAAATAGATAAGTGCTAATTGATAAGGTCAAGACAGTTCTAGGAAGGAAATGATCATAGAAGGATCCGGAAGTGTTCTGAATAACACATCCTTCCAACTTCGACAAGAACAGTTCTCTAAACGCCATTCAGCTTCTGCCCAGAAAGCTGCCTTAAAATCCCCTACTAGAGTTTAGTGAATGAAGTCATCCTAATATATTTCATGTACGGACAAGAATAGCCACACTTTATGCACCAAGGAAGGCAGCTGCTGCAGTAATGTTTGTTGGAGGATGGGAGGCATCCCACAAGTCAGCAGTGATGAGGAGTTCACCCTGGCTCCCCCTGGATGGTCCAGGCAGCTGGCAATGGTGCTTCTCACTGTCCACTGCCTTCTGATATCAGGGCCAGCAAAGGGCAAGTGAAGGTGAAAAGACTTAACCTTCTCTTGACTGTGTGGAAGTTAAACCTTCATTTTTTGGTTTCTTAGCTTTTGGTAATCAATAATCCTTTGAGGATACCAAAAAAAAAAAATCCTAAAAATGGAAGCGTATACATAATTGTACACATCATAAATACATATTTTCACAATATGTTTTACAAACCAACGATTAGCATTTCTTGTTCCTGTGAAGACTTTTGAGAAATATTTTCCTAATGATAAAGAGTAAGAAACAAACAAAAGCCCATACCATCTAGCAGGGTGCCGAAGTGTATAGCTTGCAAGTACTCCTTTTCTCTCATAAAACCCTTGAGGGGAGTGGCCCAGCCTTCACTCAGAACTTGGACCCACTGAAGATCCAGCTGCAAAACACAAAAAAAGCAGGTGAACCTTTGCATGAGCTCTGTGTTCCAGCCATCCGGCCCCAGGGCAGTCCGCTCTTACTCAGTTGAGAGGAGAATGAAGGCAGAACATTTTATGTTCTAAGCGTTCCCAGATGTAATGCTGGTTCATGATCTAGGGGCTGGAGAAGTGTGAGTCTAGAACCTTCTATTGGGAAGGTGGCAAAAGGATTCCAAATTGGGATGATTTCTTTAAGCACGTTGGGCTGTATCTATTCTTAAAATTTGCGACTGTGTTGAAGATTCACTGTACATTCTTTATTCCATAATAATTATGGCTTGGCTACATTGTTTTCACCAATATGCTAGCTATTTGATTGAACTGGGCAAACCATTGACTCTAAGATAAATGTCCAAAATTCTTAGCATGATACTAGCTCTGGCCCTAGGGGCTCCTGTAGGAATGTTCACCTGCCACCACTCCCCACCCAGGAGCCTAGTCACCAACAGTGCCAGGCCATGTGTAGTCTGAACACACACATGGTTTCAATCCCATCCCGCCTTTACCTGAAAACCCTTTTCATCATTTAAAATCCAACTCAAAAATTAAAAAAATAAAACACAGCTTGTGGACCATTGCTTTGAAATCTTCCCTGTCATCCCTAGGATCAAAAGAATTAATCATTAGATTCTCTGAAGTCCCTCTGTACCTTGCAGACCATTCTGTTATTGGAACTCAAATTCCACAATTATAATTATTTGTTTCTCATCTGCCTGAAGCATTGGAGAACTCAAAATTTATTGTGTAGAGTCAGGGAGCTCTGTTTATAAATTTGTCATGAATGACTACAGCCTGGGGTGTTCATGAGCTGAAGCACGTTCCCAATGTACTCTGCCTCATAAAAATGTCCAGGGTTTTAATGGATACCAAGGGGTTACCAATGAAGACTTGATCACCTTGTATGAACCAACTAACCGTAACCTATAGAGCGTGCATGCTAAGTAGCTTCAGTCATATCCAACACTTTGCAACTCTATGGACTGTAGTCCACCAGGCTCCTATGTCCATGGGATTCTCCAGGCAAGAATACTGAGGTGGGTTGCCATTTCCTCTTCCAGGGGATCTTCCCAACCCAAGGATCAAACCCATGGCCCTTCTGTCTCCTGCACTGGCAGGCGGGTTCTTTACTACTAGCGCTGGGAAGTTCTAAAGGGGCCAAGGTATTTGCAGGGCTGTTTGCTGAGATTGCATCTTAACATCATCCAGGTGGTGAATCCATGTAACTAAAACTCCCTCTACTTAGACTGGACTCTCCCTGATAAAGGAAAAGTGGAATGTGCAGTGTAGAAAAAGATCAAGGCATTCACATCACTTTAGATTAGGGTTGCTTTTTGTTTTAGTAAAACTCCTTCTCAGTGATCCAAGAAACACTTATATTCTGGACAAACTATTTTCTTAGAAGCTGTCAACAAATAATTACTGCCCAGTGCTTCCCATGTGACGCTAGTGGTAAAGAACTCACCTGCTAATGCAGGAGACACAAGAGACACTGGTTCAATCCCTGGGCCAGAAAGATCCCCAGGAGTAAAAAACGGCAACCCACTCCAGTATTCTTGCCTGGAGAATCCCATGGACAGAGGAGCCTGGCAGGCTACAGTCCAGAGGGTCACAAAGAGTTGGACACTACTGAAGCGACTTAGGACACAATGCCTGTATGTTGGCGTAACTGAAAGTATAACAACAACTATATAAAACTGTCCTCTGCAAGTATAGAAGTTATCTTCCTGAACATAAAATTGATCAGCTGCTTTGTAGTACCTCTTGGTGAGAGATATTCTTGGAAAAGCAGTTAAAAAAAAAAAAGTTGGTGAAAGCAACTGTTTTCTTTATAGGAATTGAATTTTCCTTATGCATACCTACCTTATTGTTAAGAGTAACTGTAAATGGATTATAATGACTGCTATTAAGCCAAATTTTCTGTCAGCCAGTTTGCATCCTCTTACCTTGGTAATTGATAACGAAGGGAGTGCTTCGGCCTCAGCTCGGACTTGGTCGAGTTTGTTTTCTGGCACAAAGAGTTCGTGGATGCCTTTGACTACAGTGTGGGGTACAATGTTCTGAAAGGAAGCAGACTTGGTAATCATTTGGAATGAAAACTATATAAAGGACACTTCAGTAAATAGATGGTCTCTCATGACTTTGTAAAATCATTATTTTTTTTTTTTAAAGTTCAGTCCACCCACCTGCTCTTGTAGAAGCTCTATCACCTGCTGTATACAGTCGCTCACGGAGGACAAATTGGTTTTAAGCACAAGCTCAGGAGTTTCAGGTTTTTCATAATCAGAATCAATACCCGTGAACCCTGCAAAATAGAAGGCTGAAAGTAACATCTGCACCAACAGAACCATGTTTTTACTCAATAAGACATTGCACGTGTTGGAATAAATGTTTTCAACCATTGTGTTCAGATTAAAACAGAAAAGGTCAAGCAGCTTTCCTTGACCTCCAGCCATAGGTAAGAACATTTACACCTGTGTTTTCAACAAAACCTGAGCCCAAGACCTCTGCAGTTAATTAGAATGGAAAAGGAAGACAAGGGGGAGGAAAACTCTGAAAGATTCCTCCTACACACACAGTCACATACATACATCTGTTGTAGTTCTCTGAACTTGATTGCTTATGGCTGGGGTGACAGTTCTCAAGAAATACAAGCCCACATTTTCATAAGCCCATGGAGACATTGAAGATACTACGGTTTGATTAAAAAAAAAGTGTGTGCTATATGTAGTTTTGGAAAACAGTCTTTGAAACCTCAGACAGATTTCTGGGGACAGACATATGAATTGGTGGCCTAAGTAAGGGGCAAAGTGCTACTGAGCTGGCCGTCTTACCTTTGATCTCCCCAGCTCGGGCCCGTTTGTAGAGGCCTTTTACATCTCTCCTTTCACAAATGTTTAGAGGCGCATCTACAAAGATCTCAAAGAAGGGCAGTCCTGCTGATTCATGGATTTTGCGGGCATTCTCACGATCCTGGGAAAAAATTACAGCTTAAGAACGTGAGAAGAGGGACTTCCCTGGTGTTCCAAAGGCTAAGAATTAGCATTCCAATGCAGGGGACACAGGTTTGACCCCTGGCTGGGGAACTAAGATCCCATATGCTGCAACTAAGCGCTACAACCGGAGAGCCCACACACAGCAACTAGAGGAGTCCACATACTACAACAAAGATACCGCGCGGGACAACTAAGACCTGACGTAGCCAAATAAGCGAATAGTAAAAAAAGAAAGGAAGAAGAGGTTTCACAACGAAATTCATCACTAACACTGTACTCTGGTCTTCCATGGCCTTAAGATGACACTAGGGTTTGAGCTCTGCATAGGTGGCAGGAAATTAGCCCTTTAGAGAAGTTTCACTCTAGTAAACAACTCTCCCAAGGACTTTAAAAAGAAAAAAAAAAACAAAAAACCCACGGAAAAGAGCTGGCAATAGGACAGTATTTCATTGGAAGGATGTGTTCAAAGTCACTGTATCTCATTTGTAGCTCCAAGCAATTTTGTGCTTTTTTAAAACAAGAGCAGTGAGGACACTCCACCTCGTTGACTGCAACATTAAACACAGAAAACCTGATGCCTTGTCAATGAACTGCTGTTTTCTTTAGTCAGGCAAGCCCTCTAACTTTTTGGAGAAATAAAAATTACTGAGCTTTAGGAGTTTTCTTGTTTAACTTTGTCTTCCTTTCAACTCTGGCCAAGTGTACTTACCATTGTGAAAGTGGAAGGGTTTATGTCAACTGGTGCCCTGACATCTGGAAATGAAGGGACTCTCTTTATATAATCAATATTAAAGAGAAGAAATGAGGGAGCAAGTGAGCGATGAGAGAAGGTGGGGGAAACAAAGTATGACTTTGCTCTGTCGTTCCCCTTCGCCAGCTCCTCATCCTGGCAGTTGGAGAGCTCTGGCGCTGTGTGTGGGGATCGTGCATGTTGCCAAGTCATTTTACCTTTGCAAACGGAGAAATGAAGCTGGTAATGCAGACCAGACCAGCGTCGGCAAACAGCTTGGCCACCTCTGCAATCCGGCGGATATTTTCCTCTCTGTCCCAAGGAGAGAATCCAAGGTTTTTGTTGAGGCCACGACGGACGTTGTCCCCGTCGAGGGAGTAGCAAGGGATGGCACGGGAGACGAGATACTCTTCCAGAGCAAAACTGATCGTTGTTTTTCCAGCACCAGAGAGACCTATTGAGAATGGTCAAGACAAGACTGGAGATGTCTCTGTTTAAGATGATAAATTGTGATTGATTCTAAGCTTTACCTAATTCAAGAGTAATTAAAACCCTCATGACAATCATTTGATTGACCTCGAATTCAAACCATTCAAATCTAGAAAAAGTGAAATTTACTGAAAGTTAAGTACTAGAATTTCTTTCAAATCTTGAAATAACTCTCTGTCCTTTATTAGGATTATACCCACTCCAGTGTTCTTGCCTGGAGAATCCCAGGGACAGAGGAGCCTGGTGGGCTGCCGTCTATGGGGTCGCACAGAGTCGGGCACGACTGAAGCGACTTAGCAGCAGCAGCAGCAACCTTTCAAAGCAGAAGAGGTTTGTCAATAGGGAGACCTTGGCAGGCTCCATACAGTCCCCAGGGGTTCTGCTTTTGAGACAGACTGGGACCTGGGACCCTTTACTAGAGTGCTTGCACCTGAACAAAGGTCTCCTGGAGCAACAGATAAAAAGAAACTATAAGAGACTCAAATAACTACACCCTGGCATAGTTGGAGCAAATTATAAACAAAAAGATACAAAAACCCCACAAGCCAAGTATCATTTCTGAGGTGCCTGGGAGCAAAAGCAGGGTACTGCAGCATGATCCCTGCACACAGCACTGCTAAGAGGGTCAACTGATCACCTAAGCCATACCCCCAGTCCGTCCTGCCCCTCCTTCCCTGTCCCCTCCCCTGGAAGAGAACATGGTAACTCACTCCAGTATTATCGCCTGGAGAATCCCATGGACAGAGGAACCTGGTGGGCTACCGTTCATAGGGTTGCAAAGAGTGCAACACGACTGAAGTGACTTAGCACGCAATGTGATAAATTCCTCTTAGAACATGTTCAGTTGTAGGACAGGAGAAATGAGATTCCTGAATCTCTGGTACATTCTTTTGTATCAGAAAATGAGAGAAATAGTAGAAATTTCCAAACACAGTTAACTGTATTTAATATAGATCATTGGAATATTTATTTTAATACATTAAAGTAACACCAGTTATATTTACTGAGAGTTTTTCTAGGGACCAGGACCTCTGCTAAGCACATACATGCTTTATTTCATTCAGTTCTACCTATATCTCTATGAGGAGGCACTATCTTCATTCTCATTTTACAGATAAGAGGCTTAGCGAGCTTGATCCAAAATCACACAACTAATGTAGGTGAAGCTGAGGCCCAACTTCAGTTCCCTAGATTTGAAGAATCTGGTTTCTCCTGATTTGCCTGGTCAGTATCCAACATCTGTAATCTGAGAATAAAAAATAAATGAGGACAAGACTTCTTTTGAAAGTAAGAAAAGATGGGGGAAGTATACTTTTGAGATTTTGTTTTTCTCTTCATCTACCAGTTCTTTTTTTTCTTTTCAAGGGTGTTTCAAATTAGGAAAAAATGGACTCTGTGTATATGGTTTTTTAAAAAAATATGCATTATTTATTTGGCTGTGCCAGGTCTTACTTGCGGCACATGCAATCTTCAATCTTCCTTTAGTTGTGGCATGAGAACTCACTTGCGGCATGTGGGATCTAGTTCCCTGACCAGGAGGGGAACCCAAGCCCCTTGCATTGTGAGCACCAAGTCTTAGCCACTGAACCACTAGGGAAGTCCCTGTATATATGTTTTGATTCAAAATTTAAATGAACACATGAAGGCAAAACGTCCCATGAAGGCAAACACATTGCAAGAGGGAAACGTCTGGAGTGTAGCTGTTTTATCCACTGCTGCACAACACGCCTCTTAGAGGGAAACTGGGGAAACAGATCAGGCATTGAGCCCAGTGAACCTGCCTTCTGGAACAAAGCAGGCTCCATGCTCACTATGTGGCCTCATCCTGGAAAGTGGGAAAGTTGCTGTTCCAGGGATGGATGAAGCCAGGAAACCAAGGACAAGTGCTGCAGGCACTAGGAAATAACTTGAAAAAGAAGAATGAGGCTGCTTTAGACAGGAACAGGAAAGACTCAGAAGAGCAAGAAAAGACGCAAGGCAGGTCCTTGCTCGTTGTGTTTTTTAGAATTATCTTCAGGTTAGAATAAATCCACATTTGTGAGCAGACAGTAACACATAAGTTCATTTCATAACCTGGATAAACATATCTTTGCATCTAAGCTCATCTCCATGTGAAATATTATGTCTACAAAATGAACCTGTTGTTTTTTTCTTTTGAGTCCAGCCTATGTCAGACCTGCATTTCCAGGCATCAGATTCCTCTACCTATACTCAGAGAATAAGGTAACAGCCCAGGACTAATTCCAGTTCTGTCACTAACCCTTAACTTTGACATTCTGGGGCTATAAAAACACAAGTAAAAGAAGATTCATTTGGTCTCCTTGGTGGGAATGAGTTAATTTTATACAAAAGGAACCATCCTCAGTTACATAGAAAACATAGAGTTTTTCTTCTTGCCTGGATTTTAATTTTTTTTAAATTAGTAAAATAGCCCCCCTAGAATGTGAAAACACCTGAAAAGAATAAAGAACATCTCTAATGGGCAGCCAAATGCTTGATGTCAAATTAGGAAAGCCTCATTTTTAACTGCCAGTGGACATGGAACAACAGACTGGTTTCAAATAGGAAAAGGAGTATGTCAAGGCTGTATATTGCCACCCTGCTTTTTTAACTTATATGCAGAGTACATCATGGGCTGGAAGAAGCACAAGCTGGAATCAAGATTGCCAGGAGAAATATCAATAACCTCAGGTATGCAGATGATACCACTCTTATGGCAAAAAGTAAAGAACTAAAGAGCCTCTTGATGAAAGTGAAAGAGGAGAGTGAAAAACTTGGCTTAAAGCTCAACATTCAGAAAGCTAAGATCATGGCATCCGGTCCCACCACTTCATGGCAAATAGATGGGGAAACAGTAGAAACAGTGGCTCACTTTATTTTGGGGGACTCCAAAATCACTGCAGATGGTGATTGCAGCCATGAAATTAAGACACTTACTCCTTGGAAGGAAAGTTATGACCAACCTAGACAGCATATTAAAAAACAGAGACATTACTTTGTCAACACAGTCAGTCTAGTCAAGGCTGTGGTTTTTCCAGTAGTCATGTATGGATGTGAGAGTTGGACTATAAAGAAAACTGAGCACTGAAGAATTGATGCTTTTGAACTGTGGTGTTGGAGAAGACTCTTGAGAGTCCCTTGGACTGTGAGGAGATCCAACCAGACCATCCTAAAGGAGATCAGTCCTGGGTGTTCATTGGAAGGACTGATGTTGAAGCTGAAACTCCAATATTTTGGCCACCTGATGAGAAGAGCCAACTCATTTGAAAAGACCCTGATGTTGGGAAAGATTGAAGGCAGGAGGAGAAGGGGACAACAGAGGATGAGATGGTTGGATGACATCACCAACTCAATGGACATGAGTTTGGGTAAACTCTGGGAGTTGGCGATGGACAGGGAGGCCTGGCGTGCTGTGGTTCACGGGGTCACAAAGAGTCAGACACGACTGAGTGACTGAACTGAACTGAAATGTGTTTAGGCGTGAAATTGAGGATTACAGAATTCCTTAGAGCTGAAAGGGAATGTCATAATCAACTTATCCATCCTTTCCTGTCAAAGAGGTGGAAACAGAGAACTAGAGACATTCTATGACCTGATGACTGACACTCAAGCTTTCTACTACAGCTTTCAGCCTCCTTCTAATGTTAAAATACACATGGACTATGTATATATGACACATAAAATATGTCACATTATTTTCCTTACAGTTGTGTGTTACCACCAATTTTTAGTCAAAATAAAATACATTTAGATCTCAACACCGCATACCTGTCAGCCATACGGTACATCCTCGGAAACCACCCCGTGTTCCAACCACCTGCCCTCTCTTATTCCTGCTCACGTGATGGGCCTGATACACGACATTGGTGGATTTCTGCTGGTTCTCCTATGAAACAAGAGAAAGCACAATATTTGATTAATAAAATAATAAATCTCATATGTATACATATAATAAAATAACAGACTACATAGTCTTCCCTAACTAAAACTCCTCCTTTATAACTGGCATACAGAATGACATTAATTAATTCTACTGATTTAGAAACAGACACTGCCTTTAGAAGACCCATCACAGCCCTTGGAAAGTATAATTTGAATGAGACAACTATTGATACAATGTAAAACTTCTGGTCCCATGTCCATTTTAAAATGTCTACCTTTGGCCAATAGTTAGCAGAATATCTTTGTCTCTATAAATGCAAGTTCTTCCCAAGTCCTCTGGGCACGAACAGCCCAAATACACCAGCCGCTGAGGAAGTACTAGGGTGAGGCTGGTTGAGCTTCACTCTAGAGAGCCATGGAGAAGGGTTAAAGGCCCTTATACCCCTTCCTCTCCCACCCAGACATAGACATCAGTGACTAGAGAGCTTCTCCCTGAAATAGGACTCGTTTTTCACGAGCACTAAAATCTGCTTCCACTTTCCCAAGGGTCAGTGCATGAACTTTTTAATCTATAAAAAGCCCTGTAGAAATGGAAATGTACCAGTTATTAGTCTTGGAGGCTAACTCAAATCTCAAATGTCTTTATCTTGGCTGTAATAAATCAGCCCCATTGAGGGCACAGATTATCTGATTCTGACCCTAAACTCTGGAAGGTATACATGTCTGATGAATAAAAAAGGTAAAATGTGTCAGTAAATACAGTTTGTAGTGGACATTTTAAAAAGTAATATGTGAATATGTGATCCAAGGAGGGAAAAGGAGGTGGGCCAGGGAAATTCATAATGATGGTCACATAAAAATTAAGAAGTTGAGAACCACCCATATGTGTCCTTGATATGGTAATTACATTTCTAATGATACTGGAAAAGATCCAATGCTGGGAAAGATTGAAGGCAAAAGGAGAAGGGGGTGGCAGAGGATAAGATGGTTAGATAGCATCACCAACTCAATGGATGTGAATTTGAGCAAACTCGGGTAGATAGTGAAGGACACCGAAGGCTAGCTGCTGTAGTTGTAGTCCATTGAATCACAGAGTTGGGCACAGCTTAATGACTAAACAACAATGATAGATGTAATCCAAGTTGCCAAACTGTAAAAATCTATGAAGCCATTTAAACACTGAACATGTACACCCATCAGAGCTAAAAAAAAAAAAGCTCCACTATTCTTTGAGCAAGACCCAGAGAGTCTTAGAATAACTCTGGGTCACATGAGCAGCTTTTATATTCTGGAGCAAATTAAATCACCTCTTTATGGTTTTCCTTGGGTGGGGGAGGGGGAAATTAAGGAAAATACAAATAGGGCTATTTGGAGGTTCCTATAGATAACAGGCTTCCCTGGTGGGCTCAGATGGTAAAGAATCTGCCTGCAATTCAGGAAACCCAGATTTGATCCCTAGGTCAGGAAGATCCCCTGCTGAAGAGAATGGCAACCCACTCCAGTATTCTTGCCTGGAGATTTCTATCGACAGAGGAGTCCAACAGGTTACAGACAATGGGGTCACACAGAGTCACACATGAATGAGCAACTAACGCACACACATAGATAGTGGATGGGAACATACTTTGTAAATGGCCAAGTTCCCTACAGATGTGGATTCTGACACGATCACTTAGGGGATAGCCCCAGCAGGAGGGTCTGGAGACAGGTGGATTAGGACCAGGAAAACCACTTCAAGACCAAGGAGGAAGGAGTCCCCTGCTGGCCCTCGGGGGCCCAGAAAGACAGTGCACACCCAGGGAGTGGGCATACTAGTGAGGCACAGAGCCCGGCAGAGGGAACAGTTGGCAAGAAACAGCATTATCAGTGTCAGCAGCAGCCAAGGGGGAAGTGTTGAAAGCCGGGATCAGCTGGCTTAAGTTACCTAAAACTCTCCAAGGCGAGAGGTTCTGATCATCCATCACACAAGCCCAGCTGGAATCCAAGACTTGGAAGGGTTGGGACACAGTCGCAGAATGCAGCACACTAGACAGCAGGGCTGGCTTGCACGAGAGGCTTCAGAAACGGGGACAAATGAGCCTACTCCATGAGATATTCTAGCCGTATTTTCCCTGGGTAAACAAATTCCCTGAAGGCATCCTGAGTCTTTTATGTCAAGTACACTTTATGACTCAAGGATAACATTAAGATTTTCTCTCCCTCCATTTCCTTGTTAATCACTGTCATTACATTTAAGAACATTGTGTCTGGATATTGGGCCCAAAAGTCCATTCATCTGTTCATTCGCTGATTTTTTTTTCCAGTAAATGTTCGTGTAAATGAACTGCTACTAAGTTCCAGAGGCCATACTGGGAATACAGTAAAAAAAAAACGAAGCAGAATTCCTGACAACATGGGGCTTCCCAGGTGGCGCTACTGGTAAAGAACCTGCCTGCCAAATGCAGGAGACCCAGAGATGTGGGCTCGATCCCTGAGTTGGGAAGATCCCCTGGAGAAGGGAATGGGTACCCAGTCCAGTATTCTTGCCTGGAGAATCCCATGGACAGACAGTCTGGTGGGCTACAGTCCATGGGGTCGAAAAGAGTCAGACACGACTGATATAACTTAGCATGCACACAGACACAGACAAAAAAATTCACGTAACTGGGCCCATCAGAGGAGGAGGGGCAGTCTGAGACATATATATTTCTCTACTATATGAAGTGTATGACTGTTAGCATAACTGAAGACATCGTGGGCCCTTATGGTCTCCTGTTCTTCCGCTGACCCTGCCCAGGACTATACTGTAGTGTATGGATTCTTTATCCTCAGGGCTTTGTAGTTAACAGATATTGTTTAAGAATCATTAGAACCAGGTGACCTCTATGCTTTATTAGTCCCCAAACAATGATGAAAACCTTCACTGACGTATTCCTGATGTCCACAAAGTTACCTATTCAAAAATCTTACCATAGAAACGCATGTCCTATTTCCAAGTGCCCACCCCCACATTCTAGGTTAATTATAAAACTGACCCAATGGCCCCTCAATGGCATAGAGTACAGCTGTGAAGGCCTCTGGATCGTTGTTGACTCAATCCTGATTCCACCCTGTAAGTTGCTGTAAAATAAACTCATCCATTGATTATTTAGAGTTGCCTGCCTCATTCTTTTGGTCTCAAGATGACTTCTCAGTTCAGTGGGCACTTCATGTTCCCTCTGTTCTCTGACATGAGGATACATAAAGAATATTTGCAACTCAATAATAAAGAGACAACCCACTTTTTGGAAAATGGGCAAAAGATTTGAACAGTTTCTTCACAAAGGAAGATACACAGATGAACCATAAGCACATGAAAAGGTGCTCAATGCTATTAGTCATGAGAGAAATGCAAATTAAAATCAAAATGAGGTACTACTGATAACATCTAATGTCAGCAAGGATATGTTCTCATATGTTGGTAGTGGAGGTGTAAAGTGATCCAACCATCTCAGAAAAAAGAAAAAAAAAAACCTGTAAGTTCCTTATAAAACTAAACATTTACCATCCCCTGTAACTCAGCAGTTGCATTCACAGCTATTAAATACTCAAGAGAAATGAAAACTTCTACCCACAAAAAGACTTATACAAAGAATAAGATTAGTGACTTTTTGGGAAAAAACCTGGAAATAACCTAATGTCCATCCACAGGAAAATAGGTAACAATAAAAAAACAAAACTCCCAAATTGTAGAATACTCTTCTAATGGAATACTAGTCCACAATAAAAAGATGATAATAAATGAAAATATTTTGCTGAGTCAAAGAAATCTCACACAACAACACTACATGTGATTCTATTTATATGACATCCCCCATCAGCGAAAACTAATTCGTCAAATCAGAACAAGAGTTGCCTCTGGGTAATGGCCAAGATGTACATCTTAATAAGGGCTTGAGGTACACAGGTGTTTGCATTTGCCAGAACTCACAAAATGTACCCTTAAGATGGGTATTTCGTTACATGTAAATTTTACCACATGCAAAAAAGAGCCATTTTAAAGATTTTTTTTAAAATGTGAACCTTTTTTAAAGCCTTAATTGAATGTGCTACAGTATTGCTTCTGGGTTTTTTTTTTTTCTGTTTTGGTTATTTGGCCATGACGCATGGATCCTAGCTCCCAGTCCAGGGGTTGAGCCCACACCCCCTGTACCGGAAGACGAAGTCTCACCACTGGACCGCCAGGGACGTCCCAAAAAAGAGCTTTTTTTTTTTTTAAGTAACCAAATAAGAAAATACCTAATAAGAGTCAGACGGTGAAATAATATTGTTCAACTCTGCTGCATTTGTAGAAAAGGGCTCTGATCCCATCACAGTATGTTTGACCTAAAGGGCTCCTGTCCACCTAGGCATGTGAATGCCCACCAGAGCTTAATTTGTCCATAGAGATTTTTTTTGAAATTTCTGTCTTTTAGTGGTCCCCTCTGCCTACAGGCTGAGATCCAGAATAAACTCCAGGTTTAGTTAGTCTTCTGTGGAAACTTCGTTATGATCTTATTAATTGCTTCCCCAACAAGTGCTTGGTTTTCAAAAACATCAGAGTCCACTGGAAGGACCTGTTCTCTTATGGTATATAATAGTTAACCTCTGAACTTATGGTTCTTATTAACTGCATTTTAATCATGGGTGTTTGTCCAGATTTTCTATTGCTCCAACAATGTTTCGAACAAACAAAGATTTTCTATTACTCCAACAATGTTTCAAACAAACAAACAAAATCTTTTCAGATTTCCAGGTAGGGGAGTGGGGGGGGGGTTGTTTGTTTCAGGAAGATATCTTACTTCTTATTAACCTCAAATTTACTCTTGATTTTCTCCAAAAGGCAAACAAATAAAATAGAAACAGATGTTTTGAAGACCATTTGAACTGCAGAGGGGCAGGGCAGCTGAAAATTTTTCCTTGTTGAATGAAACGTTTCCTCCCTTCTTGAGAGCATATGGTGTTCTAAGCTTTGGAAAGAAAGTGGCTGCCAGAAAAAGGATTCTC